AACAGAATGAATGTTCTTATTTTGATGCGGGAAACAATGAGGACAAATATGTTTTGCACACTGTTCATCTTAGCTTTGACTGAGTAATTAGTAGATGTGTTAAGTTTTTTGTCATATTTTCTTTGGTTTTTGAAGAAGCATTATTTGTTACTTGTAATGCAGTAACAGGTAATTAGGTTCTTGTCAAGTGCGTTTTATTTAATCGCTTTTTGCTGCTGTTATGATTTGTGTTCGTGGGATGCCCTCTTGTTAGGAGGGCGATGAAATTTGATTTTAAATTTTTTCCTGGTTTTGTTGTATGCTTTTTTAATCTAAGTTTCTCGTGTTTTTCGTTCTACGAACTTTCTTGTATCATATTTGCACATTACTATAGTTAAAAACTATTTGTACATGGCTCTGACTCGACACCCCTCTTTGGGTGTCATATTTATTTCATACTTCGTCATTTTACTTACAGTATGTTTACAGCCCTGACTTTTTTACAAGGAAGCGTATCAGAAGTTATTTGCTCTTTTCAGATTTCTGCATTTTTAAAAGCCTGTCCGTTATGGCCACGGAAAAACCAGTTTCCAAAGTCATATTAACGTCTTCTGACAATGAATCGTTTGAGGTGGACCGGGATGTTATCAAACTTTCGACAACAATAGATACTATGCTTCAAGGTCTCTTGTATTTTGGTTTGGTCCTGCATACTATTTTAGAATATTTGGTAGCAGTTGGCTGCTATTTTTGAAGCTTCTTGTCTGTCATGCATGCGAGAATTTCAGATTGTTTGGGCTGTGCGAGGTCTTAAATTACTTCATTTATTTTCCTCATTTTTTTCATTTTTTAGACTTGGGCATGACTGGTGAAAATGGTGAAGTTGAGCTAGGTGAGGCTGTTCCCTTACAAAATGTTAATGGGAATATTTTGAAGAAGGCAAGTTTTCTTTTTTAATTATCAAGAAGCTAGATGTCATTGATTCAGAAATGTAACCTAAACACAACTTGCCAACCTTCTAATTCTTGAGTTTTATGAGTTCCTGTTAAGGTAATCCAGTGGTGCACTTATCATAAGGATGACCCAGTACCACCTGAAGACTCAGATCAGAAAGAAAAGCGAACAGATGATATCCCTTCGTGGGACGTTGAGTTTTTGAAGGTCGATCAGGGGACTCTTTTCGAGCTGATTCTGGTACTTCTTACTCTATAACAGCATTGGCTGTTTATTCAATACGGTTTTAGCAAAATCAGCAATTAAATTTTCATCAATTTCTAGGCGGCGAATTATTTGGATATTAAGGGGCTCTTAGACGTCACCTGTAAGACAGTAGCGAATATGATAAAGGGGAAGTCGCCTGAAGAGATTCGGAGGACATTTAATATCAAAAATGATTTTACCCAGGAAGAAGAGGAGCAGGTAAGCTGATTTCGGCTAAGGACTAGCCAACTGTATTCCCAACTCTTAATGTTGTTAAAAGATTCGATTACTGTTTTTTCATTGGTTTACAGATACGCAAAGAAAATGCCTGGTGCGAGGACTAACTTGCGTTTATTTCCTTTTGTAAATAAGTGCGAGTGCGAGATGACCTGAATCTCAGGATGTTGGTGCGTATCCTGACATTTGATGTACACCAGCTGCTGTGCAAACTTTACACCTCGTGTTGTATTTTCAATTTTAAATGTATAAAAAATGGAATCAAAATTTCATTTTTGAAAGTGTTGTCCGTCAGTCCTAATGAAATAAGGTAGTTTGACTATTGTCTCGTTTTTTTTATTTAAAGACTTACTGTGTGTGTGTGTGTGTCATGTGTGCGTTTTTTTATGATTATTTTGAATATATTCTTTGTTGAGTTGTGTATAACTGCTGCCAAGCAGAACGGAACGACTCCTTCCGGAATCACTTCCATGATTTATCCCGTATCATTTTCTGGCCCACAACTCGTGCACTTGTGAGTAGGATTTTTTTAATAAAGCGACAAGTAACGATAATAAGTTATTCCTACGCGACGTGGCAAGTTTTAAAGACGAACAGAGGTAAAGTACAATCAACAACAACGGCTGAGGTGGAATTTACTCGTAACAAGCAGGACTGAAATTTTATCACTAGTTAGTTTACGGAAGGCATCCAGAAGTGGGAAGAGTTCATTGATTTTGTGTAGAAGTCAGAGTGTTAAACAGCGCGTAGCGGGGGTTCTGCACTGCGCCAAAGCGTTTGTAGATGAGGCGTTTCCTCGTTCAAAGATGCAGAGGAGACCTTCCGTAAATTTTCCACATAATTAATACATTAGTTTCAAATATGAGTAACTGGAGCACATCCCATCGCGATCAGCTTTTTCGGGACCTGAACCAGTTAGGTTGCTCCGTAACTGCCAAGTTATACCTCGCATTCATCTCTGCCAAATATCTATGCACGTGGTCTTTCTTCAAACTTAGCAAGTGGGTAATTTTCCCCATACTCTTTTATGTGATCCATGAACAGTCGTTGCTGGTTGCGAATGTGCTGCGGCTTTTTCTGTAAGCAATGGTTTACAAAAATCAGTCATTTTGCGAGAACAAATCTCAAGGTTTCGTTATAGTTGACTACGAACAGCATGAAGGTTTTGTTTTGATAAGAAAAAACCATACATCGTATACATCCTCGAACAGTTCAGCAGGATGAAGGAACTTTGTCTTTTCGCCGTTCAAAAATACCTTCAAGATGTGTTTCTTCTCCTAAAAATGGCAACTCGACATTAAAAATGATTGTGTAAGAAGTATGACAGATCGTCAGTTTATAAGTGGATGAGGTTTTTAAGCATGGCTGTTACTTTTTTACATTGTTTTCGAGATCAGTTAGGTAATTAATCAATAGTAAAATATATAGCTAATTCAAGATGGGTACGAACTTCTTTTAAACGATTTGATTCTGCTTCCTCGTCCCACCAACCATTTTTTTTTAAATATGTTTGGAACCTCTTTATTGGGTTTTCATGAACGTCCCAAGCCTTAACTTCCTCAGACGAACTGAAGAAAAGAATTTGCAGTTGTAAAAATGAAATGAAGCTGTGCTACTGAGTAAAAGAGTGATACCGATAAGCAGTGGAATCATCTGATGTTGAATGATGCCCAACACGATATGTCATCGCTTCAATAAGACAAGGTTTATTCTGAACAGCCAGTTCACGGGCAGCTTTCACGGCGTTGTAGCACGCCAAAACGTCGTTTCCATCAACCCTGCAGGTGCCATAACATTAAGGAGAAATTTTTAGCAAAAGCTTAAAGTTGTACTCAAAAAGCCAAAATTTATTAAGGATCAAATACCTTATCGTGTATAAGCCATACCCAGCACCTTTACCAGCAACACCATCACCACCATATTGTTCATTGGTTGGCGTACTAATTGCGTATCCGTTGTTACGAACGAAGAAAATGACTGGACAACGCTGAAAAATCCCCTTTTGCATTTGCAACTTGAAAAAATTCAATCCAGCAGTAAACTACTAAATATTCCTTTTCTCCGCGAACCAGCAAAGCTAGCATCCGAATGAGTAAACTAGAAAAGCTTTATATTAATAACGAGATATCATTGCGCACTTACAAGAGTGGCAGCATTATTGAATGCTGCATGAGCGTCTCCTTCAGAAGCTGAACCATCTCCCAGATAACACATAACAATTTTCCCATTATTCGCCCTGAATTCCAAAACTAGATGTACATGCTTTACTGAACAATATCGTAAAAAAATCCAAAGAACCTCTTGAATGCGTATGCAGATCCTACTGCCTGCGGTATCTGTGTGGCTAGTGGCGAGGAGATCGTGACGAAATGAGACTCAGGAGATCCATAATGCATTGGCATTTGTTTCCCCTTGACTGAAAAAGCTAAGAGTTTGCCTCCCTAAATTTGGAAAGACTATTCACATCGAACGGAAAAATATCTTGGAAAAGCAATAAAATACAATCCTAAGCGCTGAAAGCCCAAGCCTGGTTTTTCGCTTTAATGATATTAATTTAAAATGAAAATTCTCCTTAAATGATATTCTAAACTAAAGTGATGCAGAATTGACTAAGCTTACCCAAGTCATCAGCGTTACCGTAACACTGACTAACGATCTGCTCCAAACCATACCCTCTCCACATTAGAACTCCAACCTCTCGATACTGTCCATAAATCAAATCATCGTTTTTCAAAGCTGCAGCGGAACCAAGATGACAACCCTGAAAAGAAATAACTTCAAAAACTTTTTCCTCACGAAACCAGAATTCTATAAAGAATAAATTTCATAAAAAGTTTTCTAAACATATCCTTTATAAAAGTACAGCTGTCATCAAAAAAATACTGTAAACTGCACACAAATTACACCGTTTTAGACTAGAAACAGAAGGAAGAGTAAAATGTCAACTTTTAAGCTTTTGCTCAGCACGATCCAGCGCAAAAGGAAAAAAATTGCAATACCTCTTCTCCGAAGTTAGTCATGTAGAAAGCAATTCGACCCTGTCTTTGAGAATCATAAAGAATCTTATCCATAGCGTTCAGTAACGACATCGTGTGATAAATTTTTAAGCTTGTTTCCTGGAAAAATAAATCATTTTCAGCACCAAATAAAATTTACAGCTTCCTCTATAACAAATTATTGGGTTGATAAAATAGAAAATTGCGTTGTAGTCAACTCCTATGATTCAAAGCCGGCTAAATTCTTTGAAACTGGTAACCATTCCTTGCGTTGAAAGCGGCGAAGAGTCGCCAATGATTGTAATATTTCCTGGAGTTCACCCGCTGCTTTTAAAAAAAACTTTTTGTAGAAAAAAATGCCCGTTGCGATTTTCTCAACTGAAAGTGGCCAAACGGGAACTGAAAGCCGCAAATGAGTTTCAAAACAAGATGAAGATGTACCTTATCCAGATGGGGGTCCTGAGAAGAATCCATAATTTCCCCGTTTGTATCAGTGACTCGATAAATCGGCAAAACAGGAACCTTTTCTGGGCAAATGAACTCCAGGTTTTCAGTAAACGACACCTAGTTGTTAGACTGTCATTAGTTAAAAAGACTCGTATGTTCATATACAACGGTTACTTAAACATATAATAGAATGTTGCTGACTCCTTCGACACTTTCAAAGGAAATTCATGCTACTGTAAATCCTACTCCAAGCACTAAATATCATTTTCCTCCCACACTCACTCTTCTGTTAACATTATAAACACTAATGTCAACAGTAAATGAAAGAATAAACTGTAGGCTAATTGATGAATTTTCAAAACGATAATCCTAAGAACGACTACTTTTCAACCGTTGGGAGCTTTTTTCTTTTCATTAAAATCCACGATATGTTTAGATTTAGCACAAATTTACCTAGTATGCGGCTAGACGAAAAACTATTATAGGGCAAAACGCATAAAAATACAAATCAAGAATTTCAAACGTTG